GTACCGCCCCCGGAGACCAGGAGTATGTGTTTAAAATACTATTCCCCCGGCGTTTCGTTATACCAGGACGGTCTCCTAACTCACACAGGACATTCTCTCTCTCGCTTGCCAATCCTGGATCTGACGAACAGAAATTTCCCTTGCTAACAATGGATCACATACATGTAAACATGTCCAGGTCAAGAAGAATGTCTATTATTGGGATAATATCTACGCAATTCCATGTGTTTTGGGAAGGAATGTCTAAAGTGTAGAGACAACGATGGTGTGCCCTCGTCTTCAAGTTATCTCGACACCTTGTTCTCATCCTTCATTCTGCATTCTGACTTCGGCTCAGTATCTTCATTCAAAGTTGTCGAGTTTACAGAAACTAGCCTTCAATCTGACCATCAAATTCACTGGAAGAACAAGTCGTCGATGGTATTAGCGGAACCGTAAAACCAAGGACGTCTCTTTGAATGTCTGTGTCAGAATTTGGGCTGGGGCTTTCATGTTCACGGATGAAACGAAGGATATGGCATCGCTCCACTCCAATATCTAGAGGAAGAGGACTGCCTCCTCCTGAAGAGCTGCTTTTGTTTGAGGTCGGACTAATTTCACAACAATTTATGCTGCTCCGACTCGCACGACTACTTCGACTTGGTGTACTAGGCATCCGAAGGGGGTCAGAGAGCGTGGCCAGTGATGAAGGCTGTTCTGATCCAGTGTTGGGCTCGTCTTCAAAGGTTCTTGCTGGGTTTTGGTCTGGGAATCTCTGTAAAGGTGGGTGCTGTGAACTATTGGGCTGCTGTATCGATTCGGACACTTACTTCGAACGTGTTATTCCCTTGTTTCAACTGGAAAAGCGGACTGAAAACGTTTCCACGGATTCCTCTCAAGGATATCGTCCAAATAGCTGTTTGGAGCTGGGCACCCCTTCTCCACCGGACGTAAACCCAATAGAAAACTTGAAGGATCCCGATTAAAACTACACTTTCGTCCATCTCGAAGTAGAGAAGAATTAGAATGAGAATAGTGTTAACCAGGGTGACGGTTTGGGCTCGAATGGACGAGAGCCAAGTAGTAGAGTACGTCGAATTGGGGATCTCAGCATTCTGATCCACGTTCATGTCTTGGAGTGGTCTAAGCTTAGACGGTCAGCGTTCAACGCTCGTGGGTGGTGATTTCGTGAATAGAGAAGCCGTTAGTGGTAGTAAGGTAAGGAACGTGATAGAAGTGAGGGCGGATATGTGTATATGTACGAAGTAGCGCAGCTACTGGAGGTTACAAAGTCGGAATGAAAATGTCCTTCATTTGAACCAAAGGTACTCTTTATACGACAAGCGAGTGGCATCACATTTCAAGTCTAAGGGCCAACAACACTCAACAAATGGTCCTTTTTGGTACTTCCTTTGTCTCTTTCCTCCCTTGTTTAGGACGATGATCACTAATTCATTTGCTCATCCACCCTGACTTCAATACAGCTTCCACACTGCACAGTTCTACCAGCTGATGAACTTCGACACGTTCAAATTATTTATGCTAAGAAGTTAACGTACTGAAGGGTCCTGTAGCAGTCATTCCTAGTCGACAAACCGATCAATTGTTCACAGGGTGGGAACGTATGATTCCCACAATGATATACAAGTGGCACCTGCTCGGAATCCCATATCATTATGCATGTTAACCGTGAAGGGTTGGCGGGAGTGAATCTCGGGTCCTTCAGCGCGCAATGAAATGATTTTCCACGTAATACAAATTTATTTCCTAAGACTAAGACTCCATCATCACGAGCCTCATTCTCCCGACCCAACTCTAGGAAGGCGGAGCAAAAATGCTGAACGGGGCAGAGGTGGCAAAAACATCAGCGTTATCGCCAAAATTCACTGCTTCGAGAGTAAATCCACCGCTATGGGATTATAAGAATGGAATTTTGGTTGATCAAATGTCAGAGAAAGACAGAGAAGTTTGCGTACCCTGAGACATTAGGCAAGGTAACGGTGATGGATTCATCAGCAGGGTTGACATTGTTAGCAAGGGCAATCTGTTCGCCAGATCCAGAATTGGCTAGCTCGAGAGAGAATGTCCTGTGTAATATTTAGTGGGCCGTCCTAGTATACAACGAAACGCGGGGAAAATAGTCTCTTGAACACATACTGGTCTCCGGGGGTGGTACTCCAAGTAACAAGCAGTGGCTCAGTGGCAACAGCACTCGCAGGAGTGTTCAAGGTGAGAGCGTGAACCAAAGGGCTGAGAACGGCAGCGACGAGACTAAAAGCCAAATGACATCGCGCGAGTCAGTTTAGCGATCAACGGGTGGCCACACTAGGTAGAAATGCATACGCAATTTTGTTGAACATCGTGAACAGCTGAGGTAGGTAGAAGACGAAAGATTGTTACCAGCAAAGGCGAAAAGACACTGTTCTCCAGGCTGGACGTTAGCGAGCCTATTTATACTGCTCACAGTCTACCGACACAGTATTACGGATTACGGGATATCTGAGAGTGAAAGGTTGTTCAATTGCACACGTAAAAAGCATAATGCAACAGTACTTGATTCCTATGAAATACGAACCTGTCAGAGGACTTCTTTCGAATATATCTGCGGGATACATCGATAGCTATCAGGAGAAGAATTTGGAGCATTAGCGAATGCAGTTTTGTTACCATTTCCGAAGAATGCGTAGTAAGAATACTTAATACCAACAAAGTTTATATATCTATAGTCCTTGAAACGTATCAACAGGAGAATGTTTTCAGCCTAAATATCACTTTGGATAAAACCTCCTCTTGTGCAAGTCATCAATCGAGAAAAGGAACCTGGAAAGGAAAACAGAACATGCTAACGGTCGTAGATGTTAACCCTTAAGTGTGCAGCTAGAAATATACTATACATAAATATAGGCGCCCCTGCTTGTACTTACTGTGAACTGTCTGAAGGGTCATTAGCGCCTGAGTTAAAATACCTCCGTAGGACCTATTTATCGTTCGATTTAATGTGTCATTGAATTCGGACAGGATAATGATCTTTTCTACCCATGGTTCTCATTGACGAGTTTTTGCCGCTCAGAATATGGAGCATATGCTGTTCCATTTGCACAAACAATACGTTTCATTGAAAACTTCCCGTTCTCATCAATGTATGCCCGTTCTCACTCTCATGATTCCGACTGTGCCGTTTCTGGCACCACATTTTTATTTGCAAAACTGAAACCAGGCGCCAAAATTGGAAAGATATTTTTTTGGGTCAACCAACGACAAGACCCTTAACCCCTAAAGGGGTAGCGGGAATTACACTATGATGATCCATTTGCACAAAAAATACTGTGTTCATTAGACCTAATCTGCAACGAGAATTTTGAAGGCCCCACTGAGAAGAATGAGAATGGAGCTAAAGAAAAATGAGAATGGGGCTAAAGAAAAATGATGTGACAGCCAGTGTGAGAAGTGTGAGAAATGTAGGAAGCTGTAATGCAGGCCACCATTAGGTGTTCGTTGGGAGCAGCACACCCTATATTTGATGCGTTTGGAGCTCACAACGCGACCCGAAGTGCTCTATCAGGTGGGGCGATAGGATTCTGTAGGGTGTTGCTGGGAAAACGAGGGTGTTTAGGGGTTGCATTCTGTGTACTACTGACTAGGGAGGTGTGACAAGGATTGCGTCACTTTGCTTCTCTCCGGCTCTCTGAAGATTTTTCAAGTGGGGCCTAAAGAAATCTGAACCGTTTCTGACTAAATAAAAACGCTCAAAATTCTCGTTGCAGATTAGGTCTATTGCATTCATCTGTAGTATGTAAATACATTCTCGTGTATCTGGCGACTGTGGATAGCTATAGCTTTGTTCTAGAAAGATGGTACCTTCAGTGAATTCTAATACAGAACAAAACATTCACTGGCAGCCTTAGACACTCAGTGAGCGCTGAAAAAAGCGTTTACCTTAAGCTTCCCCTTGAAACACCCCCGGGACTTTTGAAGCGGGATTTCTTATCAAATAATCCAAAGTATAAATCTCAAAATTCGTTCGAGTGCTCATCGCTAGAGATGGATTAACCCCAAAATGAATGACTCTTCTGGCCCGGGTAAACCTTCCCAGGTCGGACGCCGCCTCTGCATCCACCGACTTTCACCAGGATAGAAGTAAAGCGCTAAAGAGTTGTCGTGACTATACTTAACCCCGAAACAGAGAAATCTACTATCGATCAAAAAACTTCATAATGATCAATTACATCTGTCCTACTTACACCCTCAACTTCTTTCATGCGTTGCTGTATTACTCGCGCATGGCCTTCTGATCCGAACTTGTCCTTCAAAATTTATGTATGTAACCAGCTCAAATCCCGTCTAGCGCCAATCTAACGCTCAAAGCGCTGCAGCCCGTAGTAAGACGGTACGTATCAAACTATACAAAGGACATATTCTGATTCGCATTAGTTGCTGATTAATGTAAACTTGCTAAGGTGCAGGCGCCCGATCGAAGGTCGAGAGGCTTCCCTACAAGTGCCATGCAAATGCACGGGTGTTTTAATGCCTAGTAATCACGCCACAATAACTGCATTCCGCTTGAGAAGATTTTAGTTGATCCACATGCCGAGTCAGAGTAATGGACAAGAATTTAAATTGGGCTGCTATGCAAATTCAGTGAATCACACAATACGCGGTCCAGTTGCTGGGGTCTTGTTGATGTGAAACTTAGGAATGTCTAAAAGGCAATCCAGAATGCCGATCAGCCCAAGATCAGCCCATCTAAGGCCTTGTTGATTCGGGCTCGTGAAATTTTAGGGCTAAGTCAATCCAGAACGCCGATCAGCCCAGAATCACAGTCCTTTCGGGTAAACCGTAAATTACTACCTGAACAGCCACTGAACATCGAGCACTAAGTACTGAGTCTCTGTCTCTCTCTGTCTGTACTTCAATGAAAGAAGGTTCGCACCGAGGTGCAGAGACCGTCTGGACTCAAAGTTGAAAACCGATCAGACTTACATCGGCAAAGATCTTAGTAGTCACATGAGATCGACATTCACGGTTCAATGGTCTAGTGGTTATGATTTCTGTCTTACAATTCTATCACAGAAGGTCTCCAGTTCGATCCTGGATTGAACCAATATTTTTCCAAGGTAGTCGTACAAAACATTACTATTACATATTTACTTCTTGTGCATGGATCAGTATAAGAATCTGAATCCTTTCCTTCTTTCCATGGCCTGTTCAAATGTAATACCTTCCAATCGAGCAGCCTCCTCCACTCTTGTTCGATCAGCACCTTCCATTGCGGCTCTTTCGTCTGTATCCAGCTTCTTGTTGTCGCGGATGATCAGTTGACGGATGACTAGAAGTGAAACGAAGATAAGTAGTTGAATCATCTTCCAGCAATAGTCTAGTGCCAAGAGAAAGGATATATGATGATGCATGATACTGACCGAGGGCAAGTACAGTAGAAAGAGCGAGTGCGACAAGAGAAACGATCATAGACTGGTGATATTCCGGTCCCCATTCCGCCTTCCATACGTACGAACCCATTCTAATGATAAAATTATGAGTTTTTGGATGGGAAGTCGGCCTTATGGATGGACAGAGCCTGCACTCACAGATTCCCAAGATTACCAATGCCATTGACCAATCCAATGGCAGCCGCTCGTTTCCTGTTAGTATTATCATGTTTTCAGGTCAGAATCCAACCGGATGAGAGAAAGAATAGATAGAACTCACGCAGGAGGTCTAGGAATAACATTCGATACCCAAACAAGGGTCATTGCGAATCCTGATTGCAGGAAGGGGTGAGGACCTGAAAGAAGCATGCCAGAGATGTACTTACCCGAGTACCCAATAGCCATTAAGAACATCGACACATATCGACCGGCCGTGTTCATTGTACATAGTGCGATGATAAAGCCGACAATTACTGCCCACCACCACCCGGCAATGTGGAAGTATCGTTCCCCTGTCCGATCTGCGTGCCAGGCACTTGCAATACAGGTAACCGTGGCAAAGATCCAGGGCGGACTTAATGTGATGTATTATGAGCATTTGGATTGGGACTTGAAATACAATGGTCACGTACGCAGCAAGCAAAAGCGCAATGGTTGTTGAGAAATTCGGGTTCAGAGTCGCGGCAAGACTAGGTAAGAACATAGACAATGTGTATATGAGGTTCACATAGAAGAATATCATATCAAAAGGTACGACAAAAATAAAGAAAACTCACGTTGGGAAAAAGTTCACGAAGCTCAGACCCAAAAGTTGAGATGCATTCATCACACAGAAAAGGATAACTTTCGGGTCCTTGAGAGCCATTAAAAGACCCTTCCATGGGCTAATAATAGAAAACAGAGATCATTAAAGAACATTCAATTGTCAGCGAAAGGCACCTCATTGCCCAATTCAAGGACGTACGAATCTGAATCGTTATCTTGGTCGGCCTCGCCGGCATCTTCGGCGAGACGTGCTTGTGCAAGTTGCCTTTCGAAGGGAGAAATCCAACGCGTATTGTGGGGCTGTCATATGCATAATGTCAACTACAGTGACGAGAGTTGAAAGAGAAAGAAATAGTAAATCTCACATAGTCCGGCAGAAGCCACCTATTATAAGAAGCCCCGATCGCCGAATGAGATACTGGCTTAGGTCTGGTTTCGTTAGCAGGACGGAAAAAGTTACTCACATGGAGTTGAGACCAATGAATATCGTAATGGCACCTTCAATGTAAAATAGCCTATGTAAAGCATACAAACAATAGGTCAAAACCGTGGATCAACCGCGGAGGTGGTGTAAGACTTGAGTCCTACCAACGCCATCCACGAATCCCTCGGGCACCTTCAAGGCCGTGGAGAATACCTGCCGCCATCAACTATGAAATATTGGGAGCGGGTATATGTTAGATAGAAGGTATTGGTATTAGTACCTTCATAATTGGAGAACCGTTGGTTCTGCTTACCGCTCCAAATGCATTTGAGATAAGAAGTCCACCGTAGAGTATACAAGAGCGGAAGGCTAGCTCCTATGATTCATATGCGGGTAGAATTATGTATTAGTGTCGTCTCGTGGACCACGCACGTTCGATCACCTACCTTTTTGGTATACCAACGTGAAAGCAAGTAGATAGCTGCGTTAATGAATGAGATATTGCAGATGTCATAAAAAAACAAGACTACGACGTACTTCCGGGGTAAAAGGCAGCTTCCGGAAGTCCAATGAACATTCGAGTTGCAAGTATACCTCCGTAGTTGTGTGTAACCTGTGAATTCAAGGCATGAATAATTGCTTGAGAGTATAAAGAATATTAGACATACTCCAGTGAGGGCACTGGTTAATCCCCATGCTATGACACATCCTCCAATGTACAAGGAGGGCCTGGAGATGATGTTCGGACGTTATTCTGGAACATAGGATAACTGCGCACTAATACCTTCTAATCCAGTTCAAGAACTATGCA